TGGAGTCAGTTTATGGAACAATCTAGAATCAGAAAGAAAAGAAGCAAAATTCATTGACGACCAAATAAGAGTAAGAGCTTTATGGTTTCGGAGTTGAAAGCCAGGGAGAAGTTGTGTTTTTAGGCGTGATTTAAAAGCGGTGGTAGAGGGCGCTTGCAGGGCTGCCAACTCTCAGGCATAGGGAGCCTAAGTCACTTCCGCACCATGGTTCCCCGGAAGAACAAAAAAATTAATGCAAGTCAACAGGTAATGCTAAAAACGCTATTTTCTAATCCGTGTTGCCTTACGCCCTGAATCACACATATGTTGTACTGCAATTTAAATGAAAAGTAAAGATGGGGTTTCGACCACGCCAGTCACGTACTTTGAGATTTATTAGCTTGTAAAAGTTCGTAATTAGCATGACTACACACCAAAAATTGGCACGTTGCATATGCGACATCACCACATAATCTCCTCTCCCCTAGCGTAGCAGCTACTTACCGCATGACCAGATTTATGGCGGTTCTTTCCTCCTGTGGGAAGTTTGCTGAACTTACAGCCCTTTTCCCTCGGTTTTCTCCATGTCTGGTTCGATGGCGTCACTTTCGTGAAGCACATTTGTAGTCCTGGACTTATTTTCACACAAAACCTAAAACAGCGTTTGCCCCCGTTCGAAAATAAGCACTTTCTTGGTATTAAAATGTGTCTTTTAAATTCAAGGACGTCATGTATGAAATCCATGGCACAAAACAAGCGGATTTAGAAAATAGTGTTTTTAGCCCTGTTGACTTGCATTCATTTATTCGTTCATCCAGGGACCCTTGATGTGGAAGTGACTGAGACACATGCACTTGACCCTCTTCACACGCTCTCACGTCACATATTTCACGCTGAAGAATCCCCCCATGCTCACACGGTAGGCTCACGGAGATGAAACGGACCGTACCCCCCTACACACACACACACACACACACACACACACACACATACACACACTCTTCTCACAGTAAATTCACAGAGACTAAACGGTCACACACACGCGCGCTTTGAAATTTTCAAAAGTTGGCAGCCCTGCGCTTGCCTGACCTGGAGAGGTAGGGAGTTCCTAGGTATTGGGGCACAGATAGAAAGAGCTCTTTCCCCTCAGGTCTTCAAACGGCCTTAGGGACAGTGAGGAGGAGGTGATCTGTGGACCTAGGGGCATGAGGAGGGTGGTAGAAATGGAGAGGTTTGCTTAGATAGAGAGGGGCCTGACTGCTCAACAATTTGAAGACAAAAAGCAGAATTTTTAAATCGATCCTGATCTGAACGGGCTAATGGAGTGATTTAAGAATGAGTGTAATGTGCTGTCTTCTGTCAGCTCCACTCGGGAACCTTGCTCCTGAATCCTGAGCTGGAGTCGGGACAGAGCAGCTTCACTGATGCCGTACCAGCACGCATGCCCTGTTGATCACTTTAGACTACCTTGGTGGTTGAATGTACTATATACAGTTGTGCCTATAAGTTTACACACACTGGTGGATTTATTCTGACCATTTCTCAAAAAATATAAATGAAAACAGAAAAGTCTTTTTTTTCACTCGGTGAGTGATGTTGTGAAGCCTATCTTGTGAAAAAAACATGTGAACTCAATTCAAATCATAACAAAATCAAAGACCACAACGATCATGTAGAAACGTTTACACACTCCAGTTCCTAATACTGTGTATTACCCCCTTTAGCATCAATAGCCACGTTTACATGGGCACAATAAATCGGATTGAACGCCCAATCAGATCAAAAGTTCTGCATGTAAACATGTCAGTCGGAATAATCTGGTCCAATCCGGCCCGATCGGAGTGAAATTTCTATCCGATTGAGAGAGGTGGTTTTGTCCGATCGTCGTTCTGTTTGACGTGCATGTACACAGCCATTCAGATTGTTGGAGTGAAATAATGCCCGCTGCGCATGTGTGCAACAGCCGTCATTTGGACCGCCTGACTTTAAAATGACGACCCATTTTACGAGCATCGGCTTGTAAATTTGATGGCAAGCCGTCCCCGTTTCAGTAATATCGGATCCAGAACGTGATTTTTTTTTTTGGAAGTAAAAATCTGATTATGCACAAATCATTCGACACACGTGTTCAAGTCTGTACTGGAAACATGCAGATTCGTTGCGGGTTTTGCAGCACGGATCCCCGTTTCTGTGAACGCAGCAGCTGTTTCTGCAGCAGGTGGATGGAGACGTGCTCGTAAAGAAGACCGGGTAACATCGGTTAAGCAGACCTGGTTTGGGTTTGAGGAGGCTGATGTTGGGTGGAAAAACATCCTCAGTTAAATATTCTGGGCGACTATCACGTTAACGCAGATGAGATGTGGTTAGTTTATTAACACAGGCTTCCAAACTTTCTGAACATCTCCTGTTATTCAGTTTGAACCAACATTTCTCAACAATTTCAGCTGATTTTCACATTTTATTAATAATAAACTACAACAGAGCTGAGTAATAAAACATGAGTCTGACACCCCCCCCCAAACGTTCAGCCGTCACATCAGACCCACATACCAGCTGATCAAGAGGCAGAGAAGAGGATAACCCTCCCTTATTTTAATATTGTTGTAATGCACCAAAGGCAGATCGCTGAGCCGATCTGTCGTGGTGAAGAGGGAGCTGAGCCAGAAAGCCAGGCTCTCGATTTACCGGTCGATCTACGTCCCAATCCTCACCTATGGTCATGAGCTTTGGGTAATGACCGAAAGAACGAGATCGCGGATACAAGCGACCGAAATGAGTCTCCTCCGTAGGGTGGCCGGGCTCAGCCTTAGAGATAGCGTGAGGAGCTCGGACATTCGGGAGGGACTCGGAGTAGAACCGCTGCTCCTCCGGATCGAAAGGAGTCAGTTGAGGTGGTTTGGGCATCTGGTCAGGATGCCTCCTGGACGCCTCCCTGGGGAGGTGTTTCGGGCATGTCCTGCCGGCAGGAGGCCCCCGGGTCGACCCAGGACACGTTGGAGAGGTTACATCTCCAATCTGGTCCGGGAACGCCTTGGGGTCCTGCTGGAGGAGCTGGTGGAGGTGGCCGGGGAGAGGACGGTCTGGAGCTCCCTAGTTGGGATAATGCCCCCGCGACCCGGACCCGGATAAGCGTAGGAAGACGACGACGTACCAAAGGCAGCGGGGTATTCAAAGCTTGGGGCTGCTAAACTGTTGCTTGGCTGAATCAAGCCAAGCTGCTGCCCGGCACCTGCCATTTATTTTGTGCCTGTTTCAGGTCTAAATCGCTGGGGTGTGTAAACATTTTGACATGGTCGAGTTGGTATTTGATTTGGTTACGGTGACTTGAAATGAGCTGACAAAGAAGGAACAACTTTTTATATAGTGCCTTTCAAGTTAAAAGTCATGAGGCGCTGTTCACAAGTACAAAATAATAAAGAGAATTCGCCATGAGTGGCAAAAAGGGGTTTTATGTTTTCTTTGAGAAATAGCCCCCAGGGTGTGTAAACTTACTGGCACAACTCTAAGTAACGATGACTGATTCAAACTGGGAATGATGCGTGTCTCACAAAGTGTGTGAAACAACCGTTTTAGAGGAGTGGGGCTGTTCGGGAAGCTGTAGAAACAGACTAGATAAAAATCCTGTTCATACCAACCTGTATTTGGATAGCGCCGTCCTAAGGTGCTACAACCCCCCCCACCCCCCCACCCCAAGGCACTTCACAACGCAAAAAGTCACTCACCCATTCACATGCTGGTGGGGATGAGCTACGATGTAGCTACAGCTGCCCTGGGGCGCATTGACAGAGGCACAGGCGCCACCGGTCCCTCCGACCACCACCAGCAGGCAAGGCGGGTTAAGTGTCTTGCCCAAGGACACAACAGCAGCATTCTCTCGGAGTCGGGATCGAACCTGCAACCTTCTGATTACTGGACAACCCGCTCTACCTCCTGAGCAACTGCTGTTTTACATTGTTCTGCCTGAGTAAAAGTTATTTGCTAGTTGTTGATGGGGATTTTCGATGCTAAACAGAAGTAATAATCAATCATACTGTGACCGAGTGCACTCCAATCAGAATGTGTCCTTTGATCTTTAAAGGCAACCAAAGCATAGCTGGAGGCAGCATTTCATATAGAGGAAGCAGAATAAATATAGTGTTCTCAATAACTGACCTTTGTGGTCCTCTAAAGGGTTTCAGAGGCTTCTACTGTATTTTATGTGCTATCTTCTATTGGTAGAGATGTTCTAAGACATAAGCGACTCTTCAAGATGGCTGAGTGAGGGGTTGGCTGGTTGCAGCCTCTCCCCTGTTAAACCTACTAAACTGATGGATTAATGACCTGTAGATATGACTACAGCTGATGATATGATTATAATACAGTATGACATCATCTCTTTCTCTAGACAGACTTAGACCAGGAATCAGTTTGTTGAATCTGCCCGATCCAAAAGGCCGGGGCTCCTGGTCACAGCGGTCCGGCTCTGCTTGTACTTTAACAGTTCCAGTCTATATTAGATTTCCACAGACAACCAGCATGACTACAGACTCGCATGGTAGCCAGATGGCTGTGTGAGCGGGCCACCTCACTCCCTGGAGCCCTTCTCATTCATTTAGGTCAGGTGTGTGGCAGCAGGGACACACTAGTGTTTGAAAGGGCCCAAACCCGAGGACCAGGGTAGGGAAACACTGTCCTACCTAACTGGTTGAACTGCTCATGGTTATACCAATGGCAAGGAAATGTCTGCCCATCTTGTGGTCTCTGACTCTAGTTCCAGATTCTCAGGATTTCACAGTCTTCAATTCTGTCCTGAGGGCTGATTAGCACCTAACCTCCATAGTACAGTATTCAGGGCGATTAAAGGGATAATCTGCATCTTTTGGAGTGGAGTCTATAGAAATGTTCTTAGCAAAAGTCTTACCTGTTGTGGAAGGTATTTGCAAAGCCTTAGATTGGAGGAACAGAGATTATTTAGGAAAGAAATGACAAGCAAGCAACTAAACTCAACAACATTTTTTATCCATCCATCCATTCATTTTCAGGCACTCATCTGAGAATCGGTGACTGGAGCAGCAGCCTAAGCAGAGGCTAGCTCCTCCTGGGGAATCTTATGCTGTTTCCAGGCCAGCCATGAAAAAGAACTCTCTGGAGGCAGGCGTTGCAGGTTAGCAACGTTAAAACCTACCTACCTGGTTACTCCACACACGTATTTCATGAGCGTTTTTAACTCTGAGGGGTACCAACTGAATTAGTTGTTTGTCCTTTTATCAAAACTTATTTTGCGCCTGAGAGGGTTAAAGCCAGGAATTAGGGATCGTAATAGAGGTACTTTTATCTTGCCCGGTTAAAACTGTATCATGATGTGCTACTTAAACGATGTCAACACATCATTACGCGGGTCAAGCACCGAGTTATTTAAGTTGTAAAGGCAAACATGGCTGAGATCTCTGTGTTCACTCATATGTGTACTCGGTCATTTGTATTTCTGCATGTGATCAATTAAAAGAAGCACATCAGTGATTAGGTGCCCCCTTGCTCCTCCTGCCCCCCCCCCCCCCCCCCCGTGTGATTATCTGAAAAATTCAGGAATGAGGATTAGACAGTCACTGTGTTCAGAAAACAAACCTACAGAATTTATCAGGAGATTATTAGAGATCACCATATAATTATTATTAAATATTATGAAACACCAGAGTACATATGATAGTAAATGCTGTAGTGGTTCATAAGGGTTATTGTCAGTGATGCTACTGTTCCTTTAAGGGTTAGGGTTTGGTGCCTTTCTGTAATTTTGGTGTTTCGGACAGAACTGAAAATGCCCTTTTGGGTCATTTTTGACAGAAAATTTTTGGTGGCCGAGTTTTCGGTGCATCCCTAATCACAGTACAAAATCTAAAGAGACAGGACATCCGTGAAAGAGGTCAATGCTTAACCAAACGTGTAGGGCTTGTTTGATGGGTTGCAGGAGAAAACCTTGTTTCTCTATGAGAAATATGGCATCATCTGCTAAAAGTCTGATTGCGGAAACATAAAAACACGTTTTTCTCGACTGTATTATTCATTTCTTGTTTTAACATACATAGAGGACACAGGCTCAGGAATTACTGACCCTCAGGTCTGAAAATGTCCTTGTGCACTTTTCTGCTGTCTCAGTGTTCTTCCTTTAATTCACAGAACCTTCTCCCCTGATGGCAGTGATGGCAAACTCAACATGGCCGTACCCTGTCTTTGTCCCCCATTATCTGCTGCCTGGTGACCCTTTTGCTTCAAAACTCTCCAGAGAGGCTGACATCTTGGCAGCGTTCTACATCTGTATCATAGGTCAGTGGCGTACTGAGAAGAACCCTTCAGACTCATTTGTTCCATCAGTGTTAACTGTGGTCTGCAAGTTTCACCTCATGAAGCAGGGGAGGAGGAAGTTTTGAATTTTGAATGGCTACCGCTCCTCCCCCGCCCTTCCTGAAAGAGCCAAAAGCCACGTCTCCTAACCATGTTTCTGATATTGCTATTACGCTGAATGTGCCATTGGTGTCATCCAAATATTCTTTAATTCTATTAAAATTTGCATGAATACTCCTACTATTAAAGTGAATTATGGAAAACTTGTCCTCAGCCTTTATCACCTGGTTAAACCGAACATCTGAGTAATACTTGCTACAAGAGATCCTTGAAAGAAAATTATTTTCCGGATCCAAGTCACTTTCCATGTCCATAAAATTGTATTCAGTGTACTGAAAAATCTCAAAATCTGTATCCTGACTATCCAGATTAACATGATCAGAATTAGTAACTATTGAATCAGTTGATTGTGAGTCCACCATGAGATTTAGCTCAGTTTGTATGTCATCATACCTCCATTGGTTTAATACTTGTCCAACTCCTCCATATTCCTGATATGCAACACCTTCGCTTGTTCGGGAGTTCCCTTCAGTTTGATATATATTTTACAGTTTGAAGTCCATGTATGTTGAATTTTTCCTTCTTTTTTGAGGTATCTAGCCTTTCTTGCAATATCTGCGTTCTGTTTTGTGAGATGATCGTTCATGTAGACATTGGTTCCTTTCAGCTTTTTACCTTGTTTGATGAGAGCCATTTTGTGCTTCCTATTGGCAAATCTTATTATCACAGCTTGTTTTTCACCGTTACTCCCTCGAGACAGCAGGTGACGTGCTTCAATGTTGCAAGAGTCCACTTCAACAGCCTTCGTCTTGAGGAAGGTCACCACCTGTTGTTCCACAGAAGTATTTTCTTCCTCATCAGGCTGTTGACCATTATTGGCATTAGCTGCTGCTCGGGCGTATGTTTGGGGTTTAATCCGTAAACCACTGACGATGACATCATTTAGTCTGGTGTACTGCTCCAATTCCGCCACTTTTGTCTCTAACAACAACAGACGCTTGTCTTTTTCAGCATTCTGCAGGCGGAGAGTCTTTACTTCCTCCACTAAGTTCAAAATGGTAATCTGCTGCTTTCGGATAGTAGAAATTTCCTCTGTCATAAAGTCCAAGGATTTTTTAATGTCATCTCCTTCTTCAGCTGTGATTCCTTTCTTTGGCCCCATGCTGGATCAAGCTGGCACCTGGTATAGCCCAAAAACCTCTTGCCCACACAGTGGCTGGTAGGTGGACTGTGGTCTGGAGCTTCTGGCTCACCCAGTGGCTGGCAGGTTGTGTTAACCTTGTTCCCAATTCCAGCTAGGCGCTTAATTGTCAAAAGGTAAGCTAACTGAGCTAACCAAACTAATCAGCGCTAACGGAGGTTGACGGGCATTTTAAGCCATAAAACCGCTCTTGAGTGACTCTTCTACCATCTACCTAATAGGATGTAACACTTTTAACCTGAGGTCGAGTCTTTATTTCTGATGACACTCCGGCTATTTTAAATATCCTGTTAGGATGAATTCAGCGACATTATAAAGAGATTATTTCATTTGAAGCTTGTGCCTGCATATTTACTGCTGCTGTTGCCCATTTAAATGTTAATCCGTGCACCTTTAAAAACTGACAATCATATTTAGTCTGATTTTAATTGTTTGCAATAAATATTCCATTTACCAGAGATCAGTAAACTCCCTGGCTGCAGCTTTAACTGAAGATTAGATTTGCAGAAATGGGGACATGCTTTGGGGAGTACACACTAAATGTGGTTTATGATGTTTTTATTTATTCTTATGATCCGTTTTCACATCGACTGCATGTGGGAACGCTCCCAGGGCTCTGTCTTGGCCCAGAGCCTCCATTTGCTTTTGTTGGTTTTCCTGGTGCTGTGCATCATATGAGTACATGGAAAAAGAGGCATAATCTGCCCATTGTGGTAATTATTAAAATAATTTCCATACACCCCCACGCCTTGTAAAACCACATAAATGAAACTGCAGTTTAAGGGACTTGGGTGCAGATGGGGCAGACAGAATTTTGTCTTAGTTTGATGTGTACAGGATATTCAACCATGTATTTAAGAGACTAAACTACAAGAAAACTGCTTTATTTTCCAGCTGTTTGTAGCTTAAAAATACTTAAGGTTCTATGAAATTAGTTTTTCTGTTTGAACGATTTCTTTTCCTTTTTTTTTTTTTTTGTAAATTCCATCATTAACAATGGATCCACATTTTTGGACCCAAAGTTTATTTTTTTACGGTAGATCCAGAAAATGTTGAAATTAAGAAAATATGAAATATTATGAGTCACACAGACACAAAGAATTATATTGATTTGTTTATTAGTGTGCCTACAAATGTGTTAATCATTAAATAAAAATATTCCAGCTGTTTTGTAAATTAATTTGCCCGTGTTGCATTAAAACTCTTTGTACGATAAACCAGACAGATCAATGTCACGTTATGCGGTTATGGACTCGCCCACCTTGGCTTGTGACTGCAGAAGGCTGTGTTGGTTTTGCTGTGGCGAGAGGCCAGAGCACCTCTCAGTTATTGTCAATGAAAAGATAAAATCGGTGTATTATCTAAACAGAATTTTCACAAGTTATGTACGTTATTTAACAATGAATGAAAGGGTCTAACTGCAGCTTCCTCTGACTTGCATGTATTTAGAAATTCTATTTTTACAATCTAAAAAAAAGTCTGACATGTCGTTGCCTGTTTTCCCTTTCATTGACAGGAATCTTGTCTGCCATAGGGAATGGCTACGTCATTTATGTGACCATTAAACGGAAGACCAAGCTGAAGCCTCCTGAGCTCATGACTGTCAACCTTGCCCTATTTGACTTTGGCATATCAGGTATTTAAAAATTTTTTAAAGCTAAACAAACAACAGCACACACACACACACACACATATATATATATTTTTTTTTTTCTTAGGCCCAAACAAATGAGTTTCTGGCTACGCCGCTGGTAGCTACGGTGAAAAGGCTCACTGAATCATGAACGAACAATCCCCAAATAATTCAAACCCAGAAAGCCAAATGAAAAGTTTAGGGCGGAACATTGACCCAGAGGATTTCTGATAGAGCAGGCTTGTGAGAATACGCATAATGACCTCTTACAGATGGAGCAAACCACAGAAGAAGAAGAAGAAGAAGAAGAAAAGTTCATTTCTATAGCACCTCTCAAGATAAAAATCACGAGGCGCTTCACAAAAACAAAAAATGTAAAAATATAAAAAAGCATTTAGAAAATGTTTAAAAATATATTTAAAATGAGCAAAAAATAGGCAATTGTGATTTAAAAAACTGTTAATAAAGAGAGAGTGAACAGGAAAGAGGGAAACCAGTGGATCCTGAGGAAGGTGGAATAGGTGGGGAGAGCAGAATAAAGAGAGAGAGGTGAAGAAGGTCATACAAAAGCCAGCTTGAACAAGTGAGTCTTCAGCTGCTTTTTAAAGGAGACCACTGAGTCCACTGATCTCAGGCTCAGGGGGAGAGAGGTCCAGAGTCTGGGGGCCACAGCAGCAGATGATCTGTCACCTTTGACCTTTAGCCTGGTGCTGCACAACCAGTAGGCTTTGATCACTGGACCTCAGGGACCTGCTGGGGGTGTAGGGACTAAGAAGATCACCAATGTAAGATGGTGCTTGTCCATGTAAGGCCCTATAGACCAGAACCAGGATCTTGAAATGAACCCTGAAGTTGACTGGCAGCCAGTGAAGCTGGAGGAGAAGCGGGGTGATGTGGGTGTGTTTGGAGGACTTGGTCAGAAGCCGAGCACAGGCGTTCTGAACCACCTGTAGACGGTTCAGGGAGGTTCTGCTCAGACACGTGAAAAGAGAGTTACAGTAGTCTAAGCGTGAGGAGATGAAGGTGTGGAGAACTGTCTCAAGTTCAGAGCGGGACAGAATGGGACTCAGCTTAGCAACGTTCCTGAGATGGAAGAAGGAAGAGCGAACAAGAGAACTGACATGAGAATCCAGGGTGAGAGCTGGGTCAAAGGTCACGCCAAGATTCCTGACAGAAGGTTTGGTGTGGGAAGCAAGCTGACCAAGAGAGTCTCTGACTTTGGGAACCAGCTTGTCTGGGACACAGATGAGGATCTCAGTCTTATCTTCATTCAGCTGTAGAAAGCTCCCACCATCCAGCTAGCGCTAGAGCTACAATCCCTCTTTTGTCTACCAATTAGTTGTAGAGGTATGTTGTGAAATACGGTTTAGTTAAGGTTAGGAACAGCTGTTTATGAAGGGGCACATTTTAACAGATGTTGTTCTGATGCCTGCTGAGAGATTTAGATGTTTAGATGTCCTTTTGCAGGAAGATGAAAACAAGTAACGAGCCAACTACTAACCTTACCTCTGTTGGTTTATGGTCTTAATAATTCGTGTTATGAGACAACAATCCACTTTTTTTACTTGTTGGAGAGTGTTTATAAGTCTCTGATGCCACATTCCATCATTTTATGGTTCTTTAGGATAAAAAGAAACTCCATGAGGCGTACTGAGGTGCTCTACAAAAACAAAGGACGGTGAAATGTGGAGAATTTCCAGCTCTGTCATGACCTGAGCTGAGACTCTGCCCTGCCGGTCTTCTGCGCGTGTTTTCGCGGTTGCAATACCTCTGCGCCCACAGGCTCTCCTTTTCTATCGTGCTGGAGGGCATCCAGCGTGCATGCACCAGATACAGCATAGGGCTATGGTAAAGATTGCTGCACCCAAAGGGAACAGGAAATGCAACACAGGATGATTTGGTGGTGGTTAAAGTGTGAAATAACATTTTTGAACTACATCTAAATGCAGATTATACACAGCACGTATAGCCTATGATGTATAGATCATTAAGTTTCATTTTCATGTTTTTTTTTTGTTTTTTTTGTATTTTGTGGCTCTATCTTCTTCTTCCTGTGAGGTCAAGGGGCCATTTTGGTCTGAATTTTATGAAGCAAACAAGGAAGAGGCTAAAAGTGCAGTTCCGTCCTCATCCACTAGGGGCTGGCACCAAAACAAGAGCCAGTTCCCGTTGACTCCCATGTTAAAAATGACAGTTTCATGGCAGAAATAAGCATGTTTACAGCCTGGTTCAAAAACATTTTAGGTGTAGTAGATCTAGTTTACAGTCACGACAACTCTCAGGGGGGAGAATGTTTGTAAGCCTTCAAGTGCAACTACGTGGTTAATATTCTGAATGATTAATGAGCATTGGAGCCTCGTCAGAGCTAATGCTGGGAGCTAACTGGGGAAAGGCCTCAGCCTGGGCCTCACACTATCAGATGTTTGTGTTTGGATGGTAATCATATAATTATTTAGACACAAAGGGCAAGCTGTGGTTACTGACTGCACTAACAGACCATCCAAGAAGTTTCTGCTTCTTTTTTATCAGTAAGTAAAATTAGATTTCTGCACTTTATTTTGCTGGTCGAATGGGGGGAAATGCTGCTTGCTCAAAAATGGGTTGAAATGAAACGTGTTGGTGGGGCTGGCTGACCGGGTACCAAAACTCATGAGCTACTAGCTAGCTAGCAGGGGCTTTGGGGCTCCACTGCGGTCAAAGATTTGTGAGATTGCTGCTGCCGAGAGGTTTGACGAGATTCAGAGATCCCCAGATCGGCTGCTTCATCCTTCTGGAGGAAGCCCAGCGAGACGGGCTCCCAGCCTCACCTGTCTCTCAGCTGGGAACAGCTGCTACGCGCAGGTGGCCACAATGTTAGGTTTCAGTTGTGCTGCTCAAATGTGGAGCTCTCTGAGGGAGTTTACAGAAACACAACTGCTCTTTGAGTTGATTTTTGAGTAGCTTTTTACTGTGTTTCTCTCACTAATAGCACCTGAGAAATTGTCGTTAGCTTGAGTTAGCATGTAGCTAATCTCCCGCTGATCTCCAACCGAGATGGGGCATGACCTCAGGTAAGCAGCTAGGGCGCCCGGATCCAATCACAGCAGTCTGATGCTCTGCTTGCGTTTTAATAAAAAGCTCTACATGCTACCAGCAGGACAGCCTCACACAGAAGCCAGGTGGCCTTGAGGTTGGGCTACCCCGGAGCTCATTTTTAACTTACTGGGTTAGCTAAGTTAGCTAGTGGTGGTTCTAACCCTGTTGCAAATGTAACAGCCCCCACTCACAGCTCCACCTCTTTTCCAATCTTTGGATTGTCTGGGCACGAAGAGTCCTGTGAAACAGTCAAAATGGCGTTGGTTGGAACTTCCCATTTGGCTTCAAACCTGCACCCCACAGAGCAATGGGCAGGGTATGTCCATCCTTAATATATGTTGATGTGTGAGACTGGTGGGGCTGTGCCCTAGCGCCCCCTAGGGATGAGCCGCCACTGGTTAGGCATAGAGCAGCATTGGTTATGGTTAGGGTATGGGTTTGGCATTGCACAGCCACAAAAATGAATGGAAGTCAATGGTTGGTCCTCAATTAGATAGAAGGACAGGTGTGTGTGTGTGTGTGTGTGTGTGTGTGTGTGTGTGTGTGTGTGTGTGTGTGTGTGTGTGTGTGTGTGTGTGTGTGTGTGTGTGTGTGTGTGTGTGCACTCCCTAAAAAACGAGTAAAATGGCAGCAGCAGCTATGGGAGGGACTCTGACTACAGTGTGTGATGTTATTGAGCTTAGTGGATGACTCTTAGTCATTTTAGTAAACTGTACATTGTAGAAACATGTTTGCTGTAAAGCAGGGGTGCCCAATCCTGCTCCTGGATGGCCGGTATCCAGCAGGTTTTGTGGTTTTTCTGCTCCAACACACTTGATTCAGACGCTGAATCACCTGCAGCAGCTCATCAGGCTCTGCAGAAGCCTGTTAATCACCTGCTGATTGAAATCAGGTGTGTTGAAACGGAGTAAAAACTAGCCAGCCCTCCAGGACCTGCTGTAATGCCTCCAGAATATATTTCTCCAGTACTGTGAAACAGAGACAATCCGTAGGAAAACAAACTGTTTATTTTTGAAAAAGGTGGGGGTGGGGCATGTCGCTCCATCCAAGTTCCAACATCATTCACCAAAACTAAAACACAGCAGAAAGGACATGATGGCAGACCTTTTTCATTATTTCCTTTTGCATCATCTAAAAATAAACCCTCTCTCAGAATAAATGCAGCTGTCTGGAGGTTGGTGCTGTCTAAAGCCACCTCCACATTAATATTATTAATTCTCCACATTACTGAAATGAGGTTTTGCCAAAAGAGTAATGGAAGAGTTAATCCTCAGGAAAAATCTTGACCGTCACACCAGGACCACCAGGTGAACCCTTTTAGCCAAATGATTTCTTTATTTTAAGATCATTGATGTGATCATCTACGAAGCTGTGAACAGCCGTGTGAACATGTGACCCTTATCAGTAAAAGACTATTGAGCTTCCAACACTTGCCCTGGAAGACAAATGTCTTTATATTTACTTTGTTTTACATATTAATTATTTTCTTAAGAGCTTTGGGACAAACTTGGATGTTAGTCTCCAGAATTCCAAGAAAATCTTTCCCTGCACAGCAGAGGAGGGATCGCACTGCAAACATTTGTAGAATTAATGCTGTTAAGCCCCTGAACATGTGAGCAATCATGTGCAGATATGTGTATGTCTTGTTGTTTGTTAGCTAAATAGGAGCTTTCTACTATAATTGGTGGCATGTTTAGGACTATAAGTCCCTTTGAGAAGCTAAAGGAGTTACTAATGAAGCAGAAAGGCATGTTTGGTCAGCCTTAGAGGGCTTCTTTCCATCTGAAGAGTTTATGTGGAAAAGGTTCTGAGTACGATCTGTCTTAAGTGGATAGCTAACTTTGTAGTCTTTTTGGAGAAATGCTTTATTTTTATTTATCCTTTTTGGATCTGTGTTGTTGATTGGATGGGAGTCTAGTGTTCAGCTA